ATGGGCTCATCCAATCAAGTTTCGATAAACCCGTTCATCATCATCTCCTGCGGTTTCGAACACGCCTATTAGGTGGTGCGGTAGACCGCGCCCAAAGCTAGGGCCCCGGTAACGTGAGGTAGCCGAGTCGGGGCAGCGTGCGCTGACCCAAGCCGGGGTCGCGCGTCCTCCCGGTGTCATGTGATAGCCCGGGGCTGCCCGCGGGGATGCGGTAGACCGCGCCCAAAGCCGCGGCCCCGGCTTGGGTCAGCGCACGCTACCCCGACTCGGCTACCTCACGTTACTGGGGCCCTGGCTTTGGGCGCGGCTTCTGCTTATATATATTTGTGGTGCGGTGGTGGTGCGTCGGGCCGCGCGCTCTGACTTCGGCCAAGAAAAATGCGTCAGCTGATCATTGTCATTTCTGCCACTTTCATGTGGTGAGATGGGGTCATAACTTTAGACGGCTGTTTCATATCAATTATTTTACATAAAATAATATTTCAAACCATAAATTAATGTTTGACAGCCAAATTAAAGAAACAATACCAATACAGGCTTATAGTTTAAATTCGACATTGTGTTGTCTACGATTAGACAGCTGATAACTCATTCCCGTACGTCGTAACTCTATAATGACCTTTGCTTATTGTCACATGTGCGCCGCATTCGTGATTGTTGCCGACGTCTGTTTGCAGGTCAGCCCACTACAGTTGTTATACATATCGATAAACCGATAAACTTTTAGGCGAAAAAAAAAACACTATTTTAGGCCCATTTTTGATTGTTTTGCGATATTAGGTAAAAACAGAAGCTTCTTATCCTAGGAAAAATAAAATGGGAAATCATTCGAAGGTGGCACACTACCTTTAAGTCATTTTACAGGAGAGTCTGCCATTCAAAGTTATTACACCAAAAGCACACAGGCTAACCAACCACTCTTGCTGGAGCTGAAGGGCCGTACATGCCAATATAAGTTCGGGACAGGAGCAGGTGGGCAGGGACGCCCGGTTCTTCCGGGCGTCCCTGTAGCTCAATTCGGATAGTGCTGGACTGCGCACCGGTGGTGAGTGCCTGGTTCGAGTCGCTTCGGCGCTCGCTACTTTTGTTCCCGGCAGGGATGGCGTGCAGTCAGTGACAGTGGTCGCGTTACAGGCCAGATGAAGTCGGTTAGCGGGGCGGGCCGTGTCCGGCTATGATGTACACGTTAAATATTCGACTATAAATTCTGCCTTGTACCCGAAATATCCCGATCGGGCGTTAGAGGTCAGAACCAGAACCTGCGCAACAAGCACCGCTTAGCGTTAGTTCTGCCATCGGAAATCCACCCATTCATAGTATTTTGAATAAATTTATAAAAATGATCGGACATTGGTAGGAGGGGGGGGATAGGGAAAGGGCCGGGGGTCAGTGACAGGGCACTGTTGGTAAAAAAAAAAATACTGTTGGGTCCCTCAAAGGATAAATAAACTTCACCCTTCGCTCATTGAGACATTTGTGATTGCTATTGACTTACACTTTCTGTGACATGTAAGTCTTAAATACTACTTATATACTACTTATACTAGTATATACTAGTATATATAAGTAGTATATAGGTACTACTTATATACTACTTGTCAATTCACTGTTGTTTTCCAGGTGACCAGACGCATGATCCAAGCGCATGCGTACAGTCCAAGCGTAGGTCCACCGTGCAAGCGTGGATTAAGCCAACATGGGGAAAAGAAAGGTTTGTCTGTGGTGTGTGTGTAGATCAGAGATGATCAGAGATCAGTAGATCAGAGATGGTAGCACGACACACTTCTCATTAAGCATTGTTACTTGCCTTGTTCGTACAGATTTCCATCAACAAGTGTTCGACGTTTTGTATTTTTATTTGAAAATATGAGTATTGCGTAAAACATACTGAGATCAAATGAATATTATGTTCTTCGCTTCAGATTTATTTGGTTTCTATATGCAGGTGGAATGGAGTTGATAATAATATAATGGAGAAGATAATAATATATAAAGATAATAATATAAATCTTTAACTTTCAACCGATTTTAACGAAACTAAGTGCTTATTCACAAACTTAGCCTCCATAAAAGTTTCTGGTTTGGGAAACTGTTGAAGTATAGGCGGGTTTCAGACGGCAAAAATGTGGTACAAAATAAAGACACCTTCAACGCTTTTGTGTTTCTTGTTTCGGTGTCACGGTTTTCTTGTTTTGCGCTTTTTACCAAGCTGTGCTAGTCCAATATCATTAGCGCCGAATACGTTACTGACAAGTATTGTTCCTCTACATTGAAGCGCCCAAGTGCGGCGCTGGCATGATTTTTGAATGTTCGATCTCCAAGTCCTTTTTGAATATCAACACACACTTATTGTTGGCCATTGTCACATTTGGCACCAATTTGGTTATTTAACATTGGGTCTGGAGCCGCCTCTGATGTATATTTTGGTGTTAAAAATTTGGTACAAGCGCCAGACATTTTGCACAAAAGCTCACATGCAGGGTCCTTCAGTGACATTTTTATCTGAAATTAAAAAATGAAAGAAATACCCGAGCAAGGAATAGGGTTATCTGCATGCCACAATGTTATTGAGTGATACTTATGGACCGAACGGAATTGATCTTGTTGGAACGTGTTTATAGTGTGATATGACGAGTTGTGTATATGTGTGCATGTAACTTGCTAGCAATGTTTCATGTAGTCACGATACTGTTTAACAAACATGCATATGTTCCTTCCTAGGGACGCCCAGGAGGGCTGATCGCCAGAAAAAGACCCCGGAGGAGTGTTGAGGTAATTTGCGATTGCTATACCCTTATAACGGACATGTTTTCAGATAATAAATAATCGCAGAGTAATAATCGTATGCTCACTGTATTGAAAAGTCTAGACTTAGCTTAAAATGACTAAAGATGTAAATGGATTATTCGAAATAACTATTCATTTTAGGTTAAGTTGAGATTTTTTCAAGACAGTGAGCATACGGTTATTACTATACGATATTGAATCATGCTGCTCATGGTGATTAGTACCTCGCCACCTCATTACAATAAATCATCGCCTAAAATTTTCATAGCAGCTAGCCCCGGGAGTGCCTATCGCCATAGCACCATTAACATGCCACTGTTATCTGTGCTCTCCTGTTCTATGGGCACAAATATCCAAATGTGTTTTTTTTATTTTTCCCGTCGCTGTGATACCTTGCTCACCTCTCTCTCTCTCTCTCTCTCTCTCTCTCTCTCTCTCTCTCTCTCTCTCTCTCTCTCTCTCTCTCTCTCTTTCTCTCTCTCTCTCTCTCTCTCTTTCTTTCTTTCTTTCTCTCTCTCTCTCTCTCTCTCTCTCTCTCTCTCTCTCTCTCTCTCTCTCTCTCTCTCTCTCTCTCTCTCTCTCTCTCGTCATTCTCTTCATCCTTTTCTCCTTCACGATGATTTTTTTTATGTTACAGGAAGTATTTTTCATTACAGGAAATATTTTTCGTCGAGGCCGTTCTAGAGTTTAACGAGGCCACGGATATGTATCGGGTGAAATGGCAAGGCACTCCGTAAGTATTTCGCACATATTGTGTACATCTAGCAATTAGTGTGCAAAGTAATATTAGTGTCCTTACTGATCCAGAGACAACTTCATACTTCAATATTTTTTTAAGCATATCAAACATTGTACTGCTATCGCTTCAAAGTACGCAATTACCAATTTGGTCAGTTACCAGTACATAACAGTAAACAGTAATACTAACTAAGAATATATGATGATCCTAACTACTACGTTTTTGCATGAGAACTCATCTGCAGTCTTTCCGATGCATGGTATCGCCCATATTTTCAACCTGACATCCCACGAATGTCCTTTCTTTAAAATCAGTTACACCTTGACCAATGTACCTTCCTTTTTCGCACAGTGAAATAACCTGGGAACCCTCTCATCACTTCCATCCCGATTTGCTTCGTGCGTTCCATGATGGTGAGTTGGTAATGGAATAAAGCGTAGCTTTGTCTCCTCTCTCTCTCTCTCTCTCTCTCTCTCTCTCTCTCTCTCTCTCTCTCTCTCTCTCTCTCTCTCTCTCTCTCTCTCTCTCTCTCTCTCTGTCATTTCCCTCTCTCCATCACCTGTCTTACCCCTCTCACAATCTTCTGTCCTGTCCTCTCCATTTTCATTTCTTTTAAATATCCCGGTCCGGACAAGGGTTACATTACTGTCTTTTTATTATTGAGGCAAATTTCCACATGTCGTGTATGTGCGTAAACAATAGACACATTCCCGGTCCTCTATACACTGTATTTTGTTCCTGCCTCTATGCTGTTATCTGGTCCGAATGCTAACGTGTTGAATGGTTCGGTCGGCTTGTGGTCCCTTGTTACAAGTGATTTTGTGCGCGGACAGGTCGGGATGGTTCCGAGGCTGCCACCGTGTCGGAGACCGGTTGCATCGCAGGGGGCCACCAGTCCGGCGCGCAGTCGGACGCCCAGTCTGGCGCCCAGTCTGGCGCCCAGTCCGACGATCTGTCTGACGCCCAGCCCGACGATCAGTCTGGCGCCCAGCCCGACGCTAAGCCCGACGATCAGTCTGGCGCCCAACCCAACGTCCTCACAGCGATGATGACGCTGCCAGGACCGGTGGCTATGCCGACGTCTCGTGAGTCTCCCCTTCCCCTCTCTTTCTCTCTCCCTCTACCTTCCTTCTGATTTGGTCGTTTTCCTGTTTCTCCAACACGCCCTCCTACCTCATGTTACTCCTCTCACAATACTTCTGTTCTGTCGCCAACATTTTTCAGCTCTTCTTAATGTCCCGGCCCGGACGAGTATAACATTGCTATCTTTTTATGATTAATACAATGGTGTAGCACACATTTCCAACTGTTGCGTACGTCCATGAACATTGAATGCGTTTCCGGTGCTCCATACCCCATATTTTGTTCCCGTCTCTATATTGTATTTTTTTCCGAGTGTTTCTAACAGGCTTACGTGTTGAATGGTTCGGTCGGCTCGTGGTCCCTTGTTACAAGTGATTTTGTGCGCGGACAGGTCCGGATGGTTCCGAGGCTGCCACCGTGTCGGAGACCGGTTGCATCGCAGGGGGCCACCAGTCCGGCGCGCAGTCGGACGCCCAGTCTGGCGCCCAGTCTGGCGCCCAGTCCGACGATCTGTCTGACGCCCAGCCCGACGATCAGTCTGGCGCCCAGCCCGACGCTAAGCCCGACGATCAGTCTGGCGCCCAACCCAACGTCCTCACAGCGATGATGACGCTGCCAGGACCGGTGGCTATGCCGACGTCTCGTGAGTCTCCCCTTCCCCTCTCTTTCTCTCTCCCTCTACCTTCCTTCTGATTTGGTCGTTTTCCTGTTTCTCCAACACGCCCTCCTACCTCATGTTACTCCTCTCACAATACTTCTGTTCTGTCGCCAACATTTTTCAGCTCTTCTTAATGTCCCGGCCCGGACGAGTATAACATTGCTATCTTTTTATGATTAATACAATGGTGTAGCACACATTTCCAACTGTTGCGTACGTCCATGAACATTGAATGCGTTTCCGGTGCTCCATACCCCATATTTTGTTCCTGTCTCTATATTGTATTTTTTCCGAGTGTTTCTAACAGGCTTACGCGTTGAATGGTTCGGTCGGCTCGTGGTCCCTTGTTACAAGTGATTTTGTGCGCGACAGGTCCGGATGGTTCCGAGGCTGCCACCGTGTCGGAGACCGGTAGCCTCGCAGGGGGCCACCAGTCCGGCGCGCAGTCGGACGCCCAGTCTGGCGCCCAGTCTGACGCCCAGTCCGACGATCTGTCTGACGCCCAGCCCGACGATCAGTCTGGCGCCCAGCCCGACGCTAAGCCCGACGATCAGTCTGGCGCCGAGCCCGACGTCCTCATGGGGATGGTGACGCTGCCAGGACCGGTGGCTATGCCGACGTCTCGTGAGTCTCCCCTTCCCCTCTCTTTCTCTCTCCCTCTACCTTCCTTCTGATTTGGTCGTTTTCCTGTTTCTCCAACACGCCCTCCTACCTCATGTTACTCCTCTCACAATACTTCTGTTCTGTCGCCAACATTTTTCAGCTCTTCTTAATGTCCCGGCCCGGACGAGTATAACATTGCTATCTTTTTATGATTAATACAATGGTGTAGCACACATTTCCAACTGTTGCGTACGTCCATGAACATTGAATGCGTTTCCGGTGCTCCATACCCCATATTTTGTTCCCGTCTCTATATTGTATTTTTTCCGAGTGTTTCTAACAGGCTTACGTGTTGAATGGTTCGGTCGGCTCGTGGTCCCTTGTTACAAGTGATTTTGTGCGCGGACAGGTCTGGATGGTTCCGAGGCTGCCACCGTGTCGGAGACCGGTTGCATCGCAGGGGGCCACCAGTCCGGCGCGCAGTCGGACGCCCAGTCTGGCGCCCAGTCTGGCGCCCAGTCCGACGATCTGTCTGACGCCCAGCCCGACGATCAGTCTGGCGCCCAACCCAACGTCCTCACAGCGATGATGACGCTGCCAGGACCGGTGGCTATGCCGACGTCTCGTGAGTCTCCCCTTCCCCTCTCTTTCTCTCTCCCTCTACCTTCCTTCTGATTTCGTCGTTTTCCTGTTTCTCCAACACGCCCTCCTACCTCATGTTACTCCTCTCACAATACTTCTGTTCTGTCGCCAACATTTTTCAGCTCTTCTTAATGTCCCGGCCCGGACGAGTATAACATTGCTATCTTTTTATGATTAATACAATGGTGTAGCACACATTTCCAACTGTTGCGTACGTCCATGAACATTGAATGCGTTTCCGGTGCTCCATACCCCATATTTTGTTCCCGTCTCTATATTGTATTTTTTTCCGAGTGTTTCTAACAGGCTTACGTGTTGAATGGTTCGGTCGGCTCGTGGTCCCTTGTTACAAGTGATTTTGTGCGCGGACAGGTCCGGATGGTTCCGAGGCTGCCACCGTGTCGGAGACCGGTTGCATCGCAGGGGGCCACCAGTCCGGCGCGCAGTCGGACGCCCAGTCTGGCGCCCAGTCTGACGCCCAGTCCGACGCCCAGTCCGACGATCTGTCTGACGCCCAGCCCGACGATCAGTCTGGCGCCCAGCCCGACGCTAAGCCCGACGATCAGTCTGGCGCCCAGCCCGACGTCCTCATGGGGATGATGACGCTGCCAGGACCGGTGGCTATGCCGACGTCTCGTGAGTCTCCCCTTCCCCTCTCTTTCTCTCTCCCTCTACCTTCCTTCTGATTTGGTCGTTTTCCTGTTTCTCCAACACGCCCTCCTACCTCATATTACTCCTCTCACAATACTTCTGTTCTGTCGCCAACATTTTTCAGCTCTTCTTAATGTCCCGGCCCGGACGAGTATAACATTGCTATCTTTTTATGATTAATACAATGGTGTAGCACACATTTCCAACTGTTGCGTACGTCCATGAACATTGAATGCGTTTCCGGTGCTCCATACCCCATATTTTGTTCCTGTCTCTATATTGTATTTTTTCCGAGTGTTTCTAACAGGCTTACGTGTTGAATGGTTCGGTCGGCTCGTGGTCCCTTGTTACAAGTGATTTTGTGCGCGACAGGTCCGGATGGTTCCGAGGCTGCCACCGTGTCGGAGACCGGTAGCCTCGCAGGGGGCCACCAGTCCGGCGCGCAGTCGGACGCCCAGTCTGGCGCCCAGTCTGACGCCCAGTCCGACGATCTGTCTGACGCCCAGCCCGACGATCAGTCTGGCGCCCAGCCCGACGCCCAGCCCGACGATCAGTCTGGCGCCGAGCCCGACGTCCTCATGGGGATGGTGACGCTGCCAGGACCGGTGGCTATGCCGACGTCTCGTGAGTCTCCCCTTCCCCTCTCTTTCTCTCTCCCTCTACCTTCCTTCTGATTTGGTCGTTTTCCTGTTTCTCCAACACGCCCTCCTACCTCATGTTACTCCTCTCACAATACTTCTGTTCTGTCGCCAACATTTTTCAGCTCTTCTTAATGTCCCGGCCCGGACGAGTATAACATTGCTATCTTTTTATGATTAATACAATGGTGTAGCACACATTTCCAACTGTTGCGTACGTCCATGAACATTGAATGCGTTTCCGGTGCTCCATACCCCATATTTTGTTCCCGTCTCTATATTGTATTTTTTCCGAGTGTTTCTAACAGGCTTACGTGTTGAATGGTTCGGTCGGCTCGTGGTCCCTTGTTACAAGTGATTTTGTGCGCGGACAGGTCCGGATGGTTCCGAGGCTGCCACCGTGTCGGAGACCGGTTGCATCGCAGGGGGCCACCAGTCCGGCGCGCAGTCGGACGCCCAGTCTGGCGCCCAGTCTGGCGCCCAGTCCGACGATCTGTCTGACGCCCAGCCCGACGATCAGTCTGGCGCCCAACCCAACGTCCTCACAGCGATGATGACGCTGCCAGGACCGGTGGCTATGCCGACGTCTCGTGAGTCTCCCCTTCCCCTCTCTTTCTCTCTCCCTCTACCTTCCTTCTGATTTGGTCGTTTTCCTGTTTCTCCAACACGCCCTCCTACCTCATGTTACTCCTCTCACAATACTTCTGTTCTGTCGCCAACATTTTTTTCAGCTCTTCTTAATGTCCCGGCCCGGACGAGTATAACATTGCTATCTTTTTATGATTAAAGGGACCCTCCCACCTTAAAAAAGTTAATGAATTGGCATAAAAGTGGTGTACCGTGAATCAGAAAGAGCGAAAATGAACATCTACCAAATTTCACCGAAAAATATTCACCCGTTTTTGAAATATAAGACTTTTATTTTATAACGCGCGGTCCATGGGCTTGATGACGTCATCAGAGTCCGTTAGTGTTAAGAGATAGGGACTACGCTGGTCCCACCCTGCAAGCATGGGCGTCGCCACCACTTCGGACACTACGGACAGTGTCCGTAGATGTTTTGGAAGGCCCGAAAACTTGTACGGAATGTCCGTACAAGTTTCGACGACTGAAAAACAGTCATTGCACATGTTTTGAAGTAGCTTAACGCTTATCAGTCCCCTATTTGTGGGTAAAGTTACGATCCAAGGCAGCCCCAAAGTCAATGTCACGCAAGAGTCTATATTCTATCGGTCTATCTTCTGCTGCGCGGTGAAGATAGACCGAACTGCACCCACTGTGGGGAACAACTCTCAGTGGCCCATGTGCTGCTGAATTGCCGCCGGCTTGCCGGGATGCGGTCACACCACCTCGGGCATCTTGCGCCCACAGTGACTCTCCTAGATCTTCTCTCAGATAACTCGCGCTGGATCCATAACGGTAGCATATTTTCCTTTATCCGTGCAGCTAACTTCCCCGTTACTTTCCTATCCTAAGCATGAAACGTAAATAAGTAAGTAATTAAAGACGTATTTAAAATTTTTGTTATGGGCGCAAAATGACCTCGCCGTCGGCGCGCCCCTAACCCCCAACAAACAAACAACAAACAAGGTCTCACTTTGCACGTGCGCAAGTGCAGGACAAGCGTAGCTATATGTTTACCCTATCACGCCAATCACGAAATAATGGATCGCTTTAGTGCATGGGAGTTGCAGAAACAATGTGAAGCTAATGTGCGCACTCCTAGCATTTTTCCCTACCACCTTCACGGCATATGTGAATACTATGCCATGGTATTTAGCATTGCTGTGCAACGCGTTCACTTTTACCATCAAATGAATCCCTGTCCTGTTCGCAGTGACTTACGTCGAACTTGATCATCCGCCTCCTCGGCCACCAAAGCCGCCCCACTTAAGAGGGGCGCCGTTGGTCTATCATCCGCCTCCTCGGCCACCAAAGCCGCCCCACTTAAGAGGGGCGCCGTTGGTCAATTATTCCGCAATTGACCGCAAGCGGACTCTGGCCTTGGAGAAGGCGCTAGAGCAACAGGCCCAATTTCGTGCTTGGCAGGCGGTACAAGCACGGCTTCATCGCCCCTGCCAAGCAGCCAACCAGCCCCCACGGCCAGATACTGACCAACCACCAGCACGCCGAAACCGTTGTTGGTGCTGTGTGGTGATGTGAACCTGTGTCGGCCGAGATCCAGATCTGGAGCAAATTCAGCTGCTGTGCGATGTTCCAGCTGTGCATTGGCCAACCTATTGACAGAAGAGTCCACCATCAGTGACGACTGACGAGTATTACCGGAGCAACATCCTGTCAGACAAATTAGTCCGTAGGAGAATGAGAAGTGACGCCGGGAGAAGCTCTTATCCTTCTGGACTAACGGACTACGGCTTGGAAATAGTTTTCATCCTAATTCCATCGAGATCTTATGGACTTTTGTCCAGCAAGAGGTGAATAAGGGGACACCCGGCAGGACCCGACAGAGCAACTGGTAGGCACATGCTAATACGGCGTCGGTCCACATCAAACCCACTGTGCTTAAAAACCCAGAAGCGTAGCTGGAATGTTCTAGGCATTTCTAAATATGATCTTATGAAAGGTGGCTATATCATCATCAAAGGGAAGCAACCTCAGGTTGTTTCTTAATTACAGCTGAAAGAAAGGTTTGCGGATAATGTCGTTACACTCTGTATCATTCTATAGACTAATTCACTGATACGTCAGCCATAATAATTCTGTGACTTTTGTCATCCTGAGGCTCTAACTAAACTAACTGAATGCTTAGAGCAAAAGAAAATGACAAAATTGTGACCAGCGACTTCAAATACAGCAAATGAGACTGATCATGTGCAAAAGTCAACCAAAGGCCATTTGAGGTCACATAAGGTCAACATAAGACTTGACCGTTTCAAACAACCTAACTATATGCCATTCGATGTATCTTGATATGACTAATGCGTTGGCACCACCTTCTTTGCTGAAGAACTCTGCAAAAAAAAAAACCGCAGCTCGGGGTCGCTGACCTGCCATCTACCCTAATGTAGGTATCAAAAATGTGTTTGTATTTTTTCCGAAGCCCCTAGGCCCCCTAGGCATTCGGGGGCTATCGCAACTATTCGTCCGGGGTGGGGGAAAATGCCCTCCACGGGCCCGCGTGGGTTTGTATTGTATTGTATTTACGATCATGGGCGATCCACACATGGCGTGGCGATTACTGCCTGGTTTATGACGAGTGTTACGGCTGACAGAATGTGTCCGTACAAGTTGGGGAGCCGTGGCGACGCCCCTGCCTGCAAGTAAAGGGAAGAAATTTCTTGAACACTATAAAGCTGCGGGGGTTGCGACCAGGATAAATGGTGGTTTCTGAGCCTGGCCGCAAACTTGGCTATCTCAACTCAAAACTAATGTTAAGGTGGGAGGGTCCCTTTAATACAATGGTGTAGCACACATTTCCAACTGTTGCGTACGTCCATGAACATTGAATGCGTTTCCGGTGCTCCATACCCCATATTTTGTTCCTGTCTCTATATTGTATTTTTTCCGAGTGTTTCTAACAGGCTTACGTGTTGAATGGTTCGGTCGGCTCGTGGTCCCTTGTTACAAGTGATTTTGTGCGCGGACAGGTCCGGATGGTTCCGAGGCTGCCACCGTGTCGGAGACCGGTAGCCTCGCAGGGGGCCACCAGTCCGGCGCGCAGTCGGACGCCCAGTCTGGCGCCCAGCCCGACGTCCTCACGGGGATGATGACGCTGCCAGGACCGGTGGCTATGCCGACGTCTCGTGAGTCTCTCCTTCCCCTCCCTTTCTCTTTCCCTCTACCTTCTTTCTGTTTTGGTCGTTTTCCTGTTTCTCCAACACGCCCTCCTACCTCAATATCTTACTCCTCTCACAATAATTCTGTTCTGTCGCCAACCATTTTCAGCTATTCTCGATGTCCCGTCCTGACGATGGTAACATTGCTGTCTTTTTATGATTAAGGCAATGGTGTAGCACACGTTTCCACATGTGGCGTACGTGCATGACCATTAACCCCCGCCGGCACAGGGGGGGGGGGGGGTGATGCAACCCCTCCCCTAAGGTTTTTTGCGAATAACTCGTTTTAAAAGCGGTCGATCGCGACGAAACTTTCAGTACCCTCGCATTGATCATTTTGACACCTACATTGAAAATTTCATGACCCTGACCCGAATGATCTTTGACCTGTGACCTTCTTTCCGAGACCATGTCTGGCCGGAATCGTGATTCGGTGTATGTCGGCTCGCATTAGCCGCGCGTTTGCAAGCTTCTCGTGGTTTCAAACGTTCAAACATGTGATTTGATGTTGCTCCCATACATTGAGGTGGATGTCAAGGTCTCCTGAATGTCAGGTCAGGTCATTGACATTTGGTGACCTCGGTTCAATTTTTTAGTTTTACATTTTTCTAGGCTAGTTTTTTACTGGTCTCGATTTTCCCGATTTTTGGGTCATTGGCCTGATCTGGAAGGTCAACCGATGACTGGGACCTTAAAATTGGGTATTATCGTCTTCGTCTCGTGACGGGCAGTACGCTCGTTTTTTCCGCGAAGCTCTAGCTCGATCAGGAGCCAAACGCGAGGGGGGGGGGGGGGTCGTAGTCGTACCAACCCCTCTTGTGCCGTCGAAGGACGCAAAATGGCCTGTGCCGGCTAGGGTTAAATGCGTGTCCAGTGCTCCATACCCCATATTTTATTCCAACTTCTATATTGTTTTTTTTTTTCGAGCGCTCCTAACTGGCTTACGTGTTGAATGGTTCGGTCGGCTCGTGGTCCCTTGTTACAAGTGATTTTGTGCGCGGACAGGTCCGGATGGTTCCGAGGCTGCCACCGTGTCGGAGACCGGTTGCATCGCAGGGGGCCACCAGTCCGGCGCGCAGTCGGACGCCCAGTCTGGCGCCCAGTCTGGCGCCCAGTCCGACGATCTGTCTGACGCCCAGCCCGACGATCAGTCTGGCGCCCAGCCCGACGCTAAGCCCGACGATCAGTCTGGCGCCCAACCCAACGTCCTCACAGGGATGATGACGCTGCCAGGACCGGTGGCTATGCCGACGTCTCGTGAGTTCTCTCTCTCTCTCTCTCTCTCTCTCTCTCTCTCTCTCTCTCTCTCTCTCTCTCTCTCTCTCTCTCTCTCTCTCTCTCTCTCTCTCTCTCTCTCTCTCTCTCTCTCTCTCTCTCTCTCTCTCTCTCTCTCTCTCTCTCTCTCTCTCTCTCTCTCTCTCTCTCTCTCTCTCTCTCGCTCTCTCGCTCTCTCGCTCTCTCTCTCTCTCTCTCTCTCTCTCTCTCTCTCTCTCTCTCTCTCTCTCTCTCTTTCTCTCTTCTCTCTTTCTCTCTCTCGCTCACTCGCTCGCATGATGGCACTATTCATCGACCCGACAAATATTTTGATGTCGATGTTGTTCACATTATGTGCTGGGGAAGCTACAATTCGGAGAGTTCGATGAATATTTTGTTTTTGACGTTTGGTATCGTCAGTTAATTATTTTTCCTGCTTTTACAGGAGGTCGCCAACCGAAGCCGTCAGCTATGGTGAAGCCCGTTTATCGCAAACCTGAACAAGCTGTGGTCGATGACAGGTGAGTGGTTTTCTGGATTTTATGTCTTTTTCGCTTATGCTGCACTGGTTTGATAAAAATCATGTTGAATGGCAAGGGATATGTTAAGGGTGTACTCTTTGTTCTAACGAGGCGATGTCCCTTCGCAGCTCCAGTGACGAGTCAGCGTCGGATTCCAGCAGTTCAGCTATCTCGGCCGATGAACTGTGGCAGGTAAGTTTGTCGTTTCTAATTTCAGGCTCAGTACCGAACGTTCCGTAACCGGCTTGTGATTGATTGGGCCATGCATTCTGAAATGGCGAACTTAACATCAGTATCTACGTTGTTTCATTAATTTGTTGATCGATGTTTTACAGACACTGCTGAATACGAGGCACAGCAGAGATCGCGGTGATCGCAGCGAACCTCGAAGCCCAGCTGGGCGATGCGACCTTGGAAGCGAAGGTGAGATTTCTGGAATATAGTTTGTCGGAATTATTTCGAATCCATCAATCCATTCCACGTCCCATTCCATCCCAACCCTTTCAGTCCAGTCCTGTCTGTTGGGCCGTCCGTCCCGTCTGTCGTCCCTCTGTCCCAGAGCAGAATTTGCCTCAGATGGGACATAATGAGGTCCCCCCTCAACTAACGATCCTGTATTGTTAAGCTTTATCCAATACTGTTAAAATTTGCAAAGGACCGAAAGATCGCATGTTACCAGCTACCCTGGAAAATTGTGAATTGCCGTCAATCAGGGGCCAATCGCCGAAGTGGTCAATAGTCCCACCCCTTCTTATGGTTGGCAGCATAAGAAGCCAGACGAGGGCCTTTTCCATAGCACGGGCGGCGAGGGGGGGGTTGGTTGGTTGGTTGGTACGACCCCACCCCCCTGGCGATTGGCTCCTATGGCACTTAGAAACGCCAAATTTACAGGGTAGGTGGGTCAATGGGAGATCTCGCCCCTGTGAAAGTTCGGTGACTCTAAGTCAATATTTAGGTTTTTTGGGGGGTATGAGTGCAAAAATTTTGCTAAAACGTCAAACGTTTTTCGCGTATAACTTTTTACCTAGTAACGATAGAGCGAAAATAAAAGCACCAGTGAACTCAGGACGTCCGTGCGCATCGAATGATATACTTTGTTACCAATTTAAGTGAACTCCTCTGGAGTTCAGTTGCCGCTAAGCTAGTCCAATTTTCCCCTGACCTTGTAACGGTTTTTGTGACCTGGTGACCTGACCTGAAAAGACTGGGACTTCAAATTTTCAGGATAGGTGCGAAAAGGTTGCCCCAGAGGGTATGCCAAATTCGTTTTTACGTTATTTGCGAAAAACCTTAGGGGGTGCATCAACTCCTCGCCGTTTTACTTATACTTGATCATTTCATTAAAGCCCCCCTCGCCGGGCGAGGATTAATGAAAAACGGCCTGGCCGGGCGAGGGTTACGGCAATTATGAAAACCATTCGATGCCCCTTGACATGAGCAACAGGACATTGTTGCTTGGTACCGCCTTCGGTTCATCTATTATTCACGAATGAATCATTTCTTATACTTTTTTGTAGTGTTTGTTTAAAGGGACCCTCCCACCTTCAAAAAGTTGATGAATTGGCATGAAAGTGATGTTGTTTGGTTCAGAAGGAGCAAAAACGAATATCTAATATAAACGAAATTAACCCTCGCATGTGAAGGGGGGTCGGATGGACCCCCCCCCCATGGTTTTTCGCGAATAACTCGCGCAAAAAGCGGCCGATCACGGCGAAACTTTCAGTACCCTCGAGTTGATCAATCTTACACCTACCCTGAAATTTTCATGACCCTGACCCCAAAGACCTTTGACCTGTGACCTGATTCTCGAGACAATGTTCGGCCGGAATCGCGATTTGGCTTATGTCAGCTCACATTATCCGCGCGTTTCCAGTCTTTTTGTGATTGTAAACGTCCAAACATGTGAAATGATGTTCGTCCCATGCATCACGGCGGGTGTCAAGGTCATCTGAAGGTCAGATCAGGTCATTGACCTTTGATGACCTCGGCTCACCTGTTCGAGTTTTACATGTTTCTAGGGTAGTTTTCGGGCTGATTTCGAATTCAGCATCCATTTGAACATTTACGAAGTAGTTTTAGTGCTTTGATAACATGTTACGACACCGTCGGTGGTATTGACACCTACTATGGATAGCCGGTAGGACGCGTACTGGTTTACCTGACCTGACCTGACCCGACCTGGCCTAAATGCATGAAGACAGCATCTGTGATCAAAACTAACATGATATTCGTGATCAGCACCCCGAAAAAACCCATAACAGCTTCACATTACGAAATTCTAGCAGGCCACGATTTTCCCGACTTTTGGGTCATTGACCTGACCTGGAAGGTCAACCAATGACCTAGGTCCTAGATCCTTAAAATTGGGTATCATCGGCTTCCTCTCGTCACAGGCAACACGCTCGTTTTTTCCGCGAAACTCTAGCTCAATCAGGGGCCGAACGGCAGGGGGGAGTCCAACCGACCCCAATCCTACACATTAGGCGCTGTAAAAAGCCGCACACATGCGAGGGTTGACTTAATAATAGACGAAATTTCACCGAAAAATATTTACCGGTTTTCAAGATATTACACCTGAGCTCAAACTGCATCTGATAGTACCTTTTTGTTTGAAAAGCTCATTTTCAAAATTTGACCTTTTTTGGCCTGAAAGTGACCTATACTCGGCTGAGGATGACCTCAAATGACACAAACGACACTGTTTTCGAAATCTATGAGTAAAATGAACCATAAAACACGTCACGTGACCGATACATGATATAAACTTTCGTGACCTAAGATGACCCAGCCCTGAGCTGAAAAACTCGAAGTACAAATTTGGTACCCTCAGGGTATCTACGGCTTACATCAACGAGTGTGCAAACCAAAAATGATTGTGTTGGCCGGTCCGACGTGTTAGCCGGTCGCCACAGCCTAAATTGTGAACAAGCGAAAATGTTGATAAATTTTACTTTGACCTGACCTGTGACGTTATTGGTGACGTCGAGGTCAATGAAATTAGGTTTCACTATCAGCCGCCGTTTGAATTTTGACAATCGGCCCAGTAGTTTCGGGGATGGGAGGGGGTTCAAGAGCCCCCCCCCCCCTCAGCCGCGTTATGGAAAATACCCCAGTCGTGCTGGGTTAACCACTCCATGTAAAACCATCACAGTTAGCCCATTCATCATGGCAGTTGTGAAAGATCATGTTTACAGCTATCGTGTGCTTCTTCGTTCTCTCGTGTGTGATGTAGGTAGTTTTTTTTTTTAGGTCGTATCCAGTTTTCCCAAATAAGCTCTTATTGGCCAAAATTTAGCGTGCTTTCCTCTGGGGACCTGGTTATTGGCAGCTAAAAATGACATCAATTTTTAACGGGCTTTTGAACATCATTTTTTGCTTCTCGCTACGATACATAAGAACCGAGTTCTAAGAGTGGGCATCTATACGCCCCCTACTTCCACCCTACTTTACTTTTAAACAGGGCTGCGGAGTCGATGGATTGTATGCGACTCCGACTCCGACTCCGGCTTTCAAAAACTAATTCCGACTCCGACTCCGGGCTGAACTGTTGACCCCGATGACTCACAAATCCGACTCCGGCTCCGGTCCCCAATATTGACCTTGATTCCGGTTCCCAACATCGACTCTGACTCCGATCACAACTGCCGACTCCGACCGACTCGGACTCTGACTGCGCAACCCTGCTTGGAAACGCTAGAGCACAATAACCGTCACATGTTTCCTTTTACAGCGGGTCCCAGCGGATACTGCCAGGATGGAGCTGAAACATCAGCAACGACGGCGACTCGGACTCACATCAGCGACAGCGACTCAACAGCGACTCTACTCAGCGACAGCGACTCGGATTCATCATACGCTCCATCGGAAGACTCCATGGTTCCTCCATCTCTAATATCCAACGACGCAGACACTCGGTATCCGGGGCTCCAGTTGAACTCCCCAAATCATTCAGTGTCGACCACGAACAACCCGACGAGACGACGATGGGACAGACGTAACGTGTGCCCTTACTGCGAGGTACCCCAGGCCAAGTTTGCGAGGCATCTTCAGTTGCGGCACGGAGATGAGGTGGAAGTCCAAAATGCTCTCTCCAAACCAAAGGGAAGCGGTGAAAGAAAAATGGCGTTCCGAGCTTTGCAAAACAAAGGAAACTATGCCCACAACGTGGCGGTGCGAGTAAACTCAAAACAAGGCGATGTCATACCAAGCAAAAGACCATCAAAAACAAGTGAAAGGCGCGTGGAGGACTTTCTCCCGTGTGAGCATTGTCTGGGATTTTACTATCGTAAGACACTCTGGCGGCATAAACGTGTCTGTCCTCGGGCTCGCAGTGGACCAACCGGAGGCCGAAGCGTCCAGGCAGATGCGATGGCCCAGCTTCCCATTCCACCTGGCTTGTCCGTCCGACTCGGAGATGTTTTTAAGTCCATGCGAATGGATGAGGTAACGCTCCTCTGCAAAACTGACCAAACAATTATCGCCTTTGGCGAGAAACTGCTCGCCCGTGTGGGTCCAGAGGCTCATCAACTGAGGTACGTCAGTCAAAAGATGCGGGAGCTCGGTCGTCTCTTGCAAGTCCTAAAAAAGACATCCAAGGAAGCGAAGCTGAGCGATTTTCTCTGTCGGTCGAAATTCTATGAGCTCGTATCCGCCGTCCGGGAAGTTTGCAGCTTTGATGAGAAGGAAAGCAAGTCGGGGCTGGCACTGAAATTGGGCCATTCTATTAAGAAGTGTGCTACGATAGTGCTGGCGAAGAAAATCGAGAAGGGAGAGGACACGGAATCGGTGGATGCTTTCCTCCAGCTCCACCAGTTGGAGTGGACAGACCAGGTTTCTCGCTCTGCTCTGCGTAAGCTGGCAGACGGGAGATGGAACAAGCCTAGTCTGATCCCAGTGGCAGAAGACCTCAGCAAGCTCCAGACTTGTCTGGTCTCAGAACTACAGAAGAGCAAAGAGGAGCTCCTCAGTAACCCGTGCTCCAAAACCTACAAAGGCATGGCCGAAGTGCTTTTGGCAAGGATCATCTTGTTCAACCGTCGCCGTCAAGGTGAGGCCGGTCGCATGAAACTTACCGACTGGACGAACAGCGTTGACTCTGAAGCAAACATCCCCAGCAGTGTGGCCGAATGCTTGAGCCCTCTGGAAAAGCATCTGGGGGCGAGTCTCAAGCGGGTCATGGTTAGAGGAAAGCGTGGACGAGGCGTGCCCATTCTTCTGACTAAGGAGATGGTTGAGGCAGTCCAACTTCTGCTGGCGAAGCGTGAGGAACTGAACGTGGGTGGAATGTACGTTTTTTCCATCCCTTCGGGGCTTCACCCCCTGAGAGGCAGTGACTGTCTGAGAAAGTTTGTGCTTCAGTGTGGAGCAAACTCGCCCAGGAGTCTGACGTCGGGAGCTCTTCGCAAACATGTGGCGACGATGTCTCAACTTCTGAACCTTCGTGACAATGAGATGGACCAGCTGGCGACGTTCATGGGACACGATATCCGTGTCCATAGGGAATTTTACAGACTTCCCGATGCAACCGTCCAGGTGGCAAAGCTGAGCAAAATGCTGATTCTGATGGAAAGTGGAAACACGGCCCACCTCAAGGGACAAAGGCTCGACGAACTGGATGTGACCGTTCCTGACGCGCAAGAGTCATCAAGTGATTCTGAACCCGATGACGGAAATCCAGTGGAAGTCACCGCTGAAGTCACAGCAAAGGCGGATAAAAAAGTGACGAAAAGACGACCTTGGTCTTCGAAGGAAAAGGACGCCGTGCACAGAAGCTGCGCGAGCTTCATCCGGACCCTGAAGGTTCCAGGTCAGACTGACTGCCTGCGGGCTATCGCTGAAGAGCCGGACCTAAAACAGCGGACTTGGAAGGATGTCAAGTACCAGGTCCACAATATGATTACGACCCGCAAGAGACGGGCGCTCAGATAGGTGAAAAGGGCTTCACCAGTTCGGCGCCCAGTCCGGCGCCCAGTCCGGCGCCCAGTCCGGCGCCCAGTTCGGCGCCCAGTCCGGCGCCCAGTTCGGCGCCCAGTTCGGCGCCCAGTCCGGCGCCCAGTTCAGCGCCCAGTTCGGCGCCCAGTCCGGCGCCCAGTTCAGCGCCCAGTTCGGCGCCCAGTCCGGCGCCCAGTTCAGCGCCCAGTTCGGCGCCCAGTCTGAAGCTCAGTCTGGCGCCCAGTCCTTCAGTCCGACGCCCAGCCACCCAGTGGGCTCCCGTTTTTGTGGCAAATACAGCATCTGTCCTTTTTTCGCTTTTTTGTATCTATGTACGGAAGGTCTCGCCCCGCGCCGTCCGGCCGGTGCCGGATTACACAGACCGGTATTATAGGTAGTACGAAACAAAACCTTGAACTTTTAGACAAACACCTTAATCCGGGCTCAGATTAACTGACCATTGCTTCAACATGACACACATTTATCACTTAAATGTAATATGTTGCTCAATTATGACCACGTTTACGTGCCCAGCACAAGGTCATGAAACCCAAACTGCTGAATGCCCAATTTCGTGTAGTTGACCTGACCTTGACTCGACCCCTGACTTCGGCTGGGAGTGTTAAACCGTGGGTGGAGAGGTACCCCAGCAACTGCCTGGTTTAACCCTCGCCGGACCTTTTGGTTTTCTACACACGTGCCGACCGAGGGGATGGGTACGACCCCCTCGCCTTTTCGCCCCTAATGGAGCTAGAGCGTCGCGGGAAAAAACGAGCGTGTGCGCCGTTACAACACAGTGATTGGTACCCGATTTTAAGGTCTCCGGTCAACCGGTGACCTCTGAGGTCAGGTCAAGTGCCCCAAGAGATGGGTTCGGTTTTTGGCGAATAAATACGAGAAAAAACTGTCTCAGAGCCGCGATTTTGACATTTTTCAAGTATGTATTAACGAACGATCGTGACAAACCATCACAATCACTTCACCGCGCCCCGAGCGGCCACCACAGCGTCACCGTTGGCTTCATCGAAGAAAACCGCACCCGTACGTGACCGAGAGCGGCACCGCTGTAGAGCAGCCGCTCCGCGGAGCCGGTGAAGCCACGAAGCCAGCCGAGAGTACCTATAAATTCTGTGATGTCCCCTGAAATCATGTCTTGTCTGGCAACTCCGCATTCTGTTCTCAGAAACCATGTACTGTATGACGACTCCACACACTGTCCTCTGATCTCGCCTATTTGTATGACGACTCCACACACTGTCCTCTGATCTCGCCTATTGTCCTCGGATGGTCAACATCACATAACACCAGTTCAAATGGGCCCAAAGCTAACAACAGCCAATACGTAGTATCAGCTACTGTGCCAATGATTCATATGAAATGAGGAGTCAATCCAACGCAGTCTTCGATGTGTCCTCGAATATGACCTACGTGCGGTGTCCTCATAATTCACACTTTACAAGTATAGGTGTGTGTGTGTGTGTGTGTGTGTGTGTGTGTGTGTGTGTGTGTGTGTGTGTGTGTGTGTGTGTGTGTGTGTGTGTGTGTGTGTGTGTGTGTGTGTGTGTGTGTGTGTGTGTGTGTGTGTGTGTGTGTGTGTGTGTGTGTGTGCATCACCACAACCTGAACGGACTGTTATAAACTATCTGAACTGACCGCTGGTGGCGCGTGAAACATCAGAGATGTAGGTACAAAACGCCCACCATTTCCAAAGTGTGCATTGGGGCAGTCCAACCATGTTTCCAGGGTTTTCCCCACAAGGTGTACTGTTTAGATTGACATGAAACGCCATTATATCTGCCAGCTATCGCAGACTATCCGTGTCGACTTCTACACGTCTACACTACACTTTGACCTACCACAGGTGCTTGGTACCATACAATGACAATAGTAAAACGTTGTTTTTTCATTCATACATACATACGTACATACATACATACATACATACATAGGGCCATCTCATCGCTGCGGAGCCAGTGCTTGCGTTCTTATCTTTGATTATCGTGTACCGCTTCAGCAAGGAGTACCACTCCTGCGCAGTTCGGCCCAAGGGACTTCGTGGCCATATAGCTCAAATATATAATTTCTATATAAAAAACTGTTAACCCATTTAGTTTGTCCCTACCCCTGCTATACCTATCGATGGCCACATCTTCGGCTCCTCCGTCCAAACTGCGCCCTCTTCCCCAAGGATCGACAGCAAACTTCGAGAGATAGGTGCACCTGGGTCACAGTCGCTAAACACGTTCTCAGTCTGATGCTGATGATGGGATCAGGGCGCTGAGTTGGCACAGCCTGCATACCGTCTTTATGGCTACCCAGCCCGGCACGAACGTCTTTGTGCCAGCTTTGCTAAACAAGTAGGGATTATCCTCCAGCTCCAGCTCCGTTCGAAGCGCACGATGGTGTCCAGAGCGATCTGCATGTACGGGATCAAGATGATGAGCACACGCCATTTCCCCTCGCCGAGCACCCCCACGAGAGCCATTTTCTCTACAAGTTCTGCCTCCCGCGGCGACCGCGTTTCCAACGGGTCGCCGTTAGCCACAACATCCCTTTGCCTCCCGGTGTAGGTATTGACCAGCAGCCTTGCTGCCCCATAACCACGCTTCTTGCTGAAGATCGTTATGGATGCTGAAGTTAGTACGCAAGAAGAGGATGCTGTTCAGTAACCTGGTGGGGCTGAGTCGAGCCTCTTCTCCGGGTCTTCGAGTTCTTCAAGCGTCCGCATGATGTGTTCCTTCATAGTCGACGACAGAGTGACCATATCCTCAGTCACAGGAAGAGTGCCCCCTCTGTTAAGCTCTCGCACATCTCTAGTGGACAGGACTGCGTGCGAGACCGGACCACCCCACTCAGACGTTCATGGAGCTCCAGGTACTCTGTGAGGCGCCTTTTTGAGTCAGTGTCTCTGCTTCTCGTCACTCCGCGTATGGCGATTTCGGCTGCCTTCTTTAAACTAATGTCCCAGCTCTATGCCCAGTGAAGGTACTGTTAAGGACGGAGGGTGATTGGCCCGTCTCCTAGCTCCCACTTGCATTCGCTATGAACCGATGCGATCACTGTTTCAAAGTAGCGCGGCTGTAGCATCACTTGCAGAGACAGCCGCTCGTCGTTTGTTTGACTTCGGACGCTGCGGAGTAGTTTTGCCAGAGATCGTAGTCTAGTTTTGATGCCTTCTAAGAGACTTCCTCTCGTCCCTTTGTTTTTTAGAGTGTAACAGCCAACATTCCGGATCAGAGCATCTCTGACCAAAAGCTCGGACAAATGGCCTCTGCATGGTGTGTCAAAAGTGGAAATAACAGCAATGGTTCATCACCACGTTCTGTTTGCTCTAGGTCGTTTAGTCCTTCGAGACATACCTATCAGGACGCTACGAATGTTCACAGCGTCCATTCCAAGCAGAGGACATCGCAGTACATTGACTACTGGCGCCACAGATCACTAAGCAGGACGAACCCCTGCATGCATAACAAGGCCCGAACGCTCTGACATCAGCGTGCCTCGCCGACGTCTCCAGCACGATTAGCTTGGCTTTGCTCCCCTTCAGAACCTTCACCTAGTTCCCTTCGCGTGATTGAAGATATGGTGTTGTCAAGCAGCGGTTTTGAAACTATTTTGCGGTTTCCATTTTGCAAATTTTCGAAACTGAGTACGATTTGAGAGCGACCTGGGCGTTGGTAACCACACGCGGGTCCTAGGGTTGGAGAGTACGGTAAGTTAAGTAAATACCTACCCGATTTGCAATATTACGCCCATGGCTGTCATTGTCAACATCCGGGGAACGAGTTTTTTTTTTCTTTCTCGTATGATTGGAGACAGCTTTTAGGATTTACAGAGTGGAAAGTTACCCCGGCCGCGCCGGGGTAGGCTGCCAGTTACCCCGGCCACGGCCGGGATGGCCGGGCAGGTTCTCCACCCAAGCACCACTCCGCTATCCGGATAGCAACGGGCGCGTTCCGCACCACGCCGGTGGACAGTCTTCTCGCCGACGCCCATGAGCCTCCACTCGGTCTTCGGAGGGAGACGCTGGGAATGCGATACGCTCTGAAGCTTCGGCAGTTTCCGTTTCACCCGTCATACGAGGCTGATTACTCCAGCGGCTTTCGATTTATTTTTGGACACCCAACCGATACTGGACGTTCTAAGCCAGCTCCATTTTGCCTCCGTATGCAGACGCTCTTCGCAGAGAGTGGTATCCGACCCAGAGATGTCATCCGCATGGACTCCCATGTGGTCGGAACTCCTCCGTGGAGGCTGGTGACCCCGAAAATTGACGTCTCTTTGGCGGCTACCAGGAAGCGCGACATTCCGGGCGCTGTGCTGAAGGCAGGAGCACTTCGTATGGCGACTGTGTGGCATGCTACACAGATGGATCACCCCACATTTTACTGAAAACTATGTTTGCATTAAAACCATGTATTGGGTAGCGACATCTGCTCCAGCGGCAGACACACTGCACTAGCTCTTCTCAAAGTGCGCCGCTATCTCGGCCTCCCGGCGACGGCGACTCTTGAGACTCCAGGTGCCGCGCCTGCACCAGGTCTGGAAACAGAACGCATCCACACAAGGATCGAAAATGTCAAACAAGGTCCACATTTGATCGAGACAGCGGGTGTCCTAAATGAAATTTATTATTACAGTTCATCAAAATACTCTAAAAAGTTCAAGTTTTTCAGCAAATGCTTTGGGATAATAACGGACCGTACCGAAATATGCGCGTTTGGGCCCTACTCTGGTATGTTAGTTATCGGACGATTAAAATGATAAAAACAATGATGATGGTACGAACCATGGCAATTACACTAAATAGCATTGCATGATGGCAAATATATAATTCTTGAAAATAGCTCACCTTGCACATCAAGGTCGTCCAACGACTTGTTCCGGTATCGATGAACCTCACCTTGCTCTGGGACCAGGAGAAACTGGCTGACTTTTGCTATCTGAATCACTTCATTTGGAAGTCGGTAGAGCTGGCGGTGAACTGTGAGGTCATGCCCTAGGTGATTAGCCAGCCACTCCAGTTGGTTGTTTTCCAGGTTCAGTATTTGCGATACCGTGGCAAGGTATTTGCGCAGTTTTGTGCTGGTAACCAGCTGGGGTCGCTGTAGGTCCGCTGCTTGGCAGGCAAATTTTAGCGAGTTCCAGCCCTTGACAAACGACTTGGCCACCGCCTTCGCAAAAGGTATGTGCTGCTCTCTGGGACGCCGACGGAGGGCCGAAGACGGCTGATCAGGTCCAGCGCCTGTCTCATGTAGGGCGTCAGGAGGATAGGTACCCGACGCGTGCGTTTTCCATCACTTCAACACACTC